TTTAATATCTGTTAATTGTATTTTGGATTTTAGAACATGCAGAACTTTTTTAAAAAATCATTTTTCTTCGTAAAACTTAGTGGGATATAGTATGTAACAAAAATAAAAACGCAAAATTTTCTAAAATTGACCAAATTAAAGAGAGCTGAAAATAAAATTATAATATTTTTTGCAAAATTCTCTATCTATTTTAATAAATTTTAGTCTATATTTTCAGATACTCCTGATCTATTTAACAGATTTTTGCAAATTTATTCCTGTTAATGTGCACAAAAGGACACACCTTTTAGTTTTGGAAATATGGTTTTCTCTGAAAAATATTAAAAATACTCATTGAAGATTGTAGATATAACTACACTGGCCTGTGTCGTTTTTGAGGTCGGTACTTTTATAGGCGATCTTTTATATTTCATACATGCTGCATTCAAAAATGTAACTTATTTGTCTCAATCAGACCATATTTATTTACTATTAAAAATTTTCTGTAACAGAAATTATCGAAATAAATGATGGAGCACAAGAATTATTATTATAAAAATTATTATGAGAATTATTATTATGATGGAGCACAAGAATATACCAAAAGATTGGCTAGATTCAGAATTTATTAGGTGACCAAAGAAATAGGGAGCGAGAAAGTGCGAAGAATATAGGCTAATAAGTCTAATAAGCCATACACTAAAACTTCATCTTAAAATTATACATCGCAGTATATACAAGCTATGCGAAGAGAGAATACAAGACATAGAGTTTGGATTCAGACGGAAGCAATCCAGATTCTGCAAGGCGTTAGAAAAGGATGTATACTTTCACCTATATTATTCAACCTACATTTAGAGAAAATATTTAGTGAAACCTTGGAAAATTGTGAACATGAAATCCTTTTAAATGGAGAACGCCTAAACAACATCCGCTATGCATATGACACCGTTATGCATATGGCACTGTTATTTTGCAGACAGTTTAAACAGTTTATCTTCTTCCTTGTGTGCCGCGCTTGTAATCAAGCGTTGGCTATCGTCATATTGACAAGCTGATGAAATGATTCTCGGTCGGCAGCTAGATGAAACAGTTCCTCGACCGATTGACCTGTCCATTGTCTAATGTTACGCAGCCAGGACAGTTGTTTTCTTCCGACCCAACACTTTCCTTCGATTTTACTCTGAATGATTAACCGGAGTAAGCGATATTTAGGTCCTCTCATTATATGACCGAAGTATTTTACCTTTCTCATTTTGATGATGTTGATCAATGCTCGCTCTTTGTGCACGGTCTCTAGCGCACGTTCGTTAGATATGTGTGCTGTCTACGGGAATCTGAGCATGCGACGGTAACACCATAAACAGTTTATAGCAACTAATAAATAAAGTAAATGAAGTAATTCTTATCAAGAATACACTAGTGAACCGAGTAAAACCTATCTTGGAACAATAGTAAACGAATAATGGGATCACTCACAAGAAGTAAAATGTAGAATAGAGAAGGCTAGGAGTACATTCAACAACATGCCAAACTCTTTAAAAGCCACAACCTTAACCTTCAAATAAAAACAAGGCTCCTACGATGTTACATTATATATACTCGATATTATACTACGGAGTTGAATCCTGGACACTTGCTGAAGCAATAATGAAAAAACTTGAAGCCTTCGAGATGTTGCTATAGATTAGGAAGATTTTCGTCTAGGCAAATAGGTAAAGAAATAATAAATAAGACTAACTCACAATCAAATAGATAACACATCTATAATCTAATAGATAACACATAAAAAAACTCATTGTGCCCAAGACTGAGATGTAGTGCATTAAAGTCCTTCCCCCCTTTTAAATTTAATGTTTGTTTCGTCCCTTCTGAGTGTTTTCTGTTTTAGTGTGTTTAAATTGTCCTTAATTGTTTTAATTCTAATATTTTATTTACTTAACTTTTCAATAATTTACTATTTGCCAATAGAACTTTATCAAAGTAATTTGATAACTACAAGTTGAAAAATAATTGCACACCCACACAATTTGTACATCTAAACTTATTCATTGTCATAACACTGTTACCTTTATAAATCAATTACTCAATAAGTAACACACATTTCATAAATATATTTCTCGAATAAATATAAATAATTTTTAATAATACAATGGTATATTACATTCCTTTCAATTAACAAACAATCACACACATATCTCTTCTTTATTGCATCAAATCTATCTCTTCAAGAACTTCCCGTTTACTGTCAAACAACTACAATAACAGAATTGAGTTCTCCATTCAACAATACATAGTAGTTTCAACCATGTTCTACCATCCATCAATTAATAAAGTACCGCCATCATTTATTTAACTTTGTATCGAGACCTGAGGATGCTTTGCATATTGTAGAAAGCGAAACCGGTCGTCTGATAGTTAAATTAAATTGATTGTAAATAAGTCTTATTTATTATTTCTTTACCTATTTGAAATGGACTCACACAAGCAACACATTCATGATTGTGAGTAAGTCATATTTCTTATTCTTATTTATTATTTCTTTACCTATTTGAAATGGATTCACACAAGCAACACATTCATGATTTCTTCTAGGCCTTCACGTCCCTTATAATCATCATCCAGGTAGAAGTACGTGTTATACCCAAATATTTTAAACTATTTTAGCTAATTGACTTTATTTTTTTTAAGCCATTTACTTATGGTATATGTTTGGTTAACTCTATGTTGAAAATATTCAATTTAACCGTAAAAAGATATTCTTGATTTATTGGTATTTATCAGTAGTGTACAAACAAGTTAAAATTGATGGAATTAAATTGGTAAAGGAGTACTACACATACAATATACTACTACACATATTAATAATACAACATGACATCTACCTCGCTTCACTCTCAAACTTAATTTCAGGTTTGTAAATAGTACCTTTCTCGGTATATTAAAGTTTATTGGAGTTTTTTTTATATCGATTTCTTAGATATTCTCGTTGGTTCTACCGTGACAAGAGAATGGTTCATCTTAAGTTTGGATTTTTAGTCCAGGCTGTGGGTAAAAAAACGTGTTATTATTCCATAATTAATTGTAGCAGTTGGGCGTTGTAGGGGGGACCTTCCTGAGTAATTTTTATGTAAAAGCGACCAAACATTTTTAGTTATTATTTTGTTATGGACGAAAAACAGTGAAAAATTCGTATATTTTTTACCTTTCATTTAAGCTTTTGTGAGTTTAATTTGGTCCAATAGTTTATGCATAATTAGCCTTCAAAGACGAAAATCGCTTTTTTTTCAAATTGAAATACTTATTTCAAAAATGATTTTTTTAACGTTTTAACCTTTAAAATGAAGCTTTTTTGATTCCCCATCAAATGAAATGTAAAATTGTAAGGTAAAATTCGTTAATTTGTTGCTGAGAAACATTCATTTGTTGTTCCCACGACCAAAATTTTGAAATGCTGTAACTTTTTTTTTTAAATGTTAGAAAGATTTTTTAAAGTGATTTGTTTTCTTTGAGATTTAAATTTTCATTTTTTGCTCTGAGATAAAATCATTCCAAAAAAATGTTTTTACTCCTCATTTTTTAATTTTAAAAAAGTACTATTTTTTATTTATAAACAATTAAAGTTGTAGCCGCCCCTGAGCATTGTATATATATATATACGTGTTCTATTTTGAAAAGAAGCAAGAGAATAAGCAAAAGAACCGAATGTACATATAGTGGGGATATTTTATAATACAATAAGTAACGTTTATATCTAAAAGCAATTGTATAATACATTTTGAAATTTTATTTATTTTGTGCAGAATTAAAATATGTTAATTATATTTTTTCATTAATAAAGTGACCAATAAATCACACGTAAGTAAAATATTATGTTTATTGTACAGATGTAATTTAATTTCTTAAGTACACACTCAGCCCAAAAGTATCATTTCTTACGCAAAAAATTTTAATAGTATGATTATTACTTTTTTAGCATGCGGTCGATAAAAAAGTATTAAATGTTCCTTTAATTATTTTTAAAAGTATAAAAAAATATAAATGCTGTAGATGTTAATATTTTTTAAGCTACCCCAGATTAAAAAAAAAACATCAAAATTGGTTCATATTTGACCGAGATAATGCAAATTTTTCCGAGCGCCACTGTTTTTAAGTTTCGATTTCATTTTTTTACGCGCGGTGCGAACCTAAGAGAGACTCTCCCACCACCTCTCTGACTCGGTCGCACAGAAATCGATTGTTTTTATGATTCATTTTTATTAAAAAAAATAACGTTTTTTATATGAAATAATGTATACCCTTTAAAAATGTAGATATTTAACTGTCGACTGATGTGTGATTTGTTCCTTAATTGTTATAAATAAAGCGGCTATGATTAAAAAAAATTATCTCGGGTCCTATTGGTCGTAGAAGGCTTTTTTAAAATCTTTGTTTTGTCTTTAGCTTAAAGAATCTGAAAGTTAAAATTACGTACAATGCTCAGGGGCGTCTACAATTTAAATTGTTTATAAATAAAAAATAGTACCTACTTTTTTAAAATTTAAAAATGAGGGGTAAAAAATATTGTTTTGGAATATCTCAGGGTATAAATGAAAATTTAAATCTCAAAGAAGACAAATCACTTTGAAAAGTCTTTCTACCATTTAAAAAAAAAGTTACAGCATTTAAAAATTTTGATCGTGGGAACAACAAATGAATGTTTCTCAGCAACAAATTAACGAATTTTACTTTACAAAATTTCATTCGATGGGGAATCAAAAGAGCTTTATTTTAAAGGTTAAAACGTTAAAAAAAATCTTTTTGAAATAAATATTACAATTTGAAAAAAACAGCGATTTTCGTCTTTGAAGGCTAATTATGCATAAACTATTGGACCAAATTAAACTCACAAAAGCTTAAATGAAAGGTAAAAAAATAAGGAATAATATGTTATAAGCAGTTTTGCTTGAAAAAAATTACCTTAAATGATATATTAAAAAAAGAAAAAATATACGAATTTTTCACTGTTTTTCGTCCATAAAATGGACGTCAACTTCATAATCTTCGAAGGCATTCTAACGTTCCATAACCAAAAAGAAAACGATATGCTGGATATGAAAATTTTCGTAGACGCAGATCCAGACGTTCGGTTAGCTCCTAGGTTGAAAAGAGACATTAGTCAAAGAGGCAGAGATTTAGAAGGAGTACTTAAACAGTATACCTCGATGGTCCAACCATCGTTCAACCATTATATCGCCCCACTCACGCGAGTCACGCCGACATCATAGTTCCTAGAGGCGGGGAGAACGAAGTGGCTATACAGTTGATTGTGCAGCACGTACAGACTCAATTGCAATTGCGTGGTTTAAAACTCAGGGAGGAACTCGCTAAGGCTTACACAGTAAACAAACATAAAAAAATTATAACCAGAAATGTTAGGTCGCTTTTTACATAAGCATTACTCAGAAAGGTCTCCCCTACAACGCCCAACTGCTACAATTATTTATGGAATTATGACAAAAACTGTCCCTTTTTTTACCCACAGCCTGGAATATTTGTCATTTTTAGAAATATATTATTCGCAATCTTTATTCGAGGCTTTCGTACTCTGGTTATACCAAAGAGTATTAAAAATATCATCAACTGTTATAATTACAAATAAACAAGTACTGGAGAGGGTTAGTAAAGAATCAGAACTAATCACCACTATACAAACCAAAAAACTGGAATACCTAGGCCACGTGATGGGGGGACCAAAATATGAAATTTTGAGACTAATAATACAGGGAATGGTTCAAGGTAAATATCTGTTGGCCGAAGGCAGAACTTATGGTTAAAGAATCTACGTGAATGGTATCAATGGTATCAATGTAGATCGAATAATTTGTTTAGAGCAGCAAATTTTAAACTAAAAATAGCCATTATGATTGCCAACCTCTTTATCAAGACGGCACTCTAAGAAGAAGAATGTTTATTCACAACAACAGATTATGCTTTATAGGTAATACGTGTAGTCTGCTTTTTTTATTGCAGTTTAATTTCGAGGTTATAAAACTTTGATCACAATGAAAATATTTAGTTAATCTCATTTTCTAACAATTGTATCCTGCTTTTAATTATTATTGAGTGTATTCATAAATATACAGTTTTCTAAAAAATTATAGTAAATTTTCAACAGAAACATTCTACAATTTCCTCTGATTTGCAGCTCTCATCGATACAGTTTAATGAGAAATTTTACGGTCGAGGAACGAAACGCGTGCAAACGATGAAAAATTTAGGTACATTTTTCGTGTTGGCTCTAAATGTATATAAGCCTCAATAAAAAATGTGGTGGATCTGGCGCCGGTCATATTTCCGACTCGCAATATTTATTGAGGCTCGGAGCGTGTTTTAACAATATTAGGGGATGATTTTAGCATGTTTATTAGAAAATGAATTATAGTTTTTAGCGCGCTTGACATCTCCGTCGAAATTTTTTATACAGCGTGTAAAACAGTAACAAAACCCAATAAGAAATAATAAATAAGAAATAAGTAATAAGAAACTTAGATTACTAGATTATTTAAATAGAAATATACTCAGATACTTGTACTAAATTTTGCAAAATGTGAGACAAAGAATCTGATTGTTTTTAGTTGACATCCGACACGACAATAGGAACCATTTATACACGATGAAAAAAACCAAAAGATTATTTTTCTATCTTAAAACGGCGAAAATTTTTTATACACATGCTGTGTTTTCAAAAAATATAAGTTTTATTTATAATTTTTGTTTTACTTGTTTGTACGGTTCCAAAAAGTTGTTTTTTGTTGTTGTTCCAAAAAGTAAATTTTGCAAAACGGTTTGTTTTTTGTAATAAAATACAAAGTGATTCATAATTCGTTTGAGTTCGGCGTAAATATAATAGCAGAGATCAAGATCTCGGCTACTTCTAAATACTATTTTAATGAACTGGATAATATGTCACTATCATCAACGTTTATAACAAGTGATTTAAAATGTGGTTCAATTATATTTTCCAGCCGCGACATTTTCTTTTCTACATGTAAAATGCAGTTTTTCAATATTTTTGGGCAAACATTGATAAACTTTGATGGTATACAAGGCAACTATCGAACACAGTAATTAATTAAATCTTGCCCAAGTACTTTCGATCAATAGATCATCTTCAGGGGCATTTCGTCAGTTGTGGCCTATCCGACATGAGTAGAATGTCATACATGTAAATTTGAAAATGCTAGTAAAATATTGTTGCATATCATCAAAAACAGATTAAAAATCTATCTTCTTACCAAATACCTCAGGAACAAGCGGGGTTTGTAAAGGGTAAAGATACACGGGAACAAATCCTGAACCTGATACAACTCTTTGAAAAGTCTAGACAATTTCAAGTACCTATGATTATATGCTACGTTGACAAAAGGAATTTTATTGTGTAAGCTGGATAACTCTGTGGTACATTTTAATAGAAATGGGCATACCAGTGCTCCTGGTGACATTTGGTTAGACAATGATGCGTGTTGTCACCTGACTTATTCAACATTTATGGTAACCATGTCATAAGGATGGCTTAGATACCCAAATGAGCAGGAAATGTTTAATCTCCTGCGAAGAGTTGAGTACGAAAGCAATAAAGTTGACCTGAAAATCCAAAAAGCTAGTACAAAAATAATGGTGGTTGACAGATTCCATACTATCCAACTAACTAACATGTTATAGGAATACCAGATAGTGGACAGTTTTGTCTCGGGTCTAGTATAACTAACGATGGTATCTGTAAAGCAGAAGTTGGGAGACGTATTGGTATGGCAAAAAATGCGGTAAGTCGCCTAACTAAAATTTGGAAAGACAGATCTATCTCTTAAAATAGAAAGATGAGACTATTAAATACCTCAATATTTCTATACAGGGCAGTGACTTGAACTCTTCGCAAAAGCAAGTGCTAAAAAATTGATGCCTTTGAGATGTGGTGCTGGTGAAGACTGCTGCGCATACCTTGGACAGTTCATAGGACAAACGTTTCCATTCTGACCCAACTTGAGATTAAAAAAAGGGCATCCACACTATGTCTGCAACATATTCTGCATTTTTTTTTCTTACGTGGTTCGCAGAGGTGACGAGAGTTTGGAGAGATTAATTGTTTCTGAAAACGTTTCTGGAAAAATATCAAGAAAACGATCACCAACTAGATGGTTTAACCAAATTAAGAATTAAGCTGGAAACTCACTTTACGAACATCTCAGAGCAACTGAGGATAGAGACCAATGGAGGAATATTGGAGAAAATCACGATCTTCAGTAATGAGGAAACGACAAGAGGGAGAGTTTGCTTCGTGGTCTTCAATAAATTTTACGTCAAGTCGTCTTTTTTCCCTTAACGACCATTTTAATCACCCACTATAAGTACCCAATATATACCTACAATATTATAATTGTGCCTAAAAATCGTATTTCTCCCTTTTTCATCCTTCTGTTAACCGTATTCTACTATAGTATGACATTTCTGTTTATTGATATCAAAAGTATTTATTAATATACTAGTGTCAATTCTTGGCAATTTCAACATGTTTTTGATTGAAGAAATTTTTGCATCTATTATTGCTCTTATGCAGGACGGAATAAGTCAAGTTTACGTGACTAACATATACGAAGTTTGACGCAGTACAGTGCAATGTGTCTTTATGGAAACTTTTTGGTCTTTTGTTTTTTTTTAAACAAAAAACAAAATTTGTTTAATTTACTGTTTGTATTTTGAGAACGATTTCCGAATTGGAAATTGAAACGTCAATAAACGTATTTTTATCTTTAATTGTGGCTTATTCCTAGTTGTAAATAGTAATGAATTTACAATGCCACAAGAAAATAGCTTCAGAACAATAACAATCATCAGTGTTACAACCTTTAAATGCTCGAATTTCTTAAGCTGTCTGCGTCATTCTGTTCTGTCTCTTGCTTGGATTTTCCAGTTGCCAACAGCAATCTTTTTAGCATCTTTTGGTACCCCGTTCGATCCCTCCTACTTATTTCCACAGGTTACGCCGTTAGAATCTTTTTTAATCATGTTTTATTCCGGGGGCCGGTCTACACATCATGCGCTCTGCAGACTATTTCGCTTGATGATGGGGATAATATCTTTCCCAACCAAACTTATGCTTGTAGATATTCTGCAGTTTAAAGTTATATCTACTCCTCCACATTCTGTTCTCACAGACCGCTGCAAATTCTTGAGTATTATCTTTCTTTCAAATATCGATAGAGGGGATTTATCTATTTTGGTTGAAGGCCTATGCCTCTGATCCCTATGCGAGAATGGGGATTATCAGTGTGAAACGAAATAATAATAAATAACGCAAATGCCATGTACAAACAAAAACAGAACGATATAAATAAAAATTTATAAGCCAACAGGCAATGGTTATCATTATGGTTATGGTAGATATGAGAGGATTCATTTATGAGCCCTTAAGGCAACAGACAATTACAAAATAAAACATATTTATAAATGGATAAAAACAGACAATAGTAAAATAAATAATATTTTACATCCGTAGGAAAGTGACTGTAGATTCTTAAATTTGAAAACATCATACCAACCTTTTGACTACGTCATATCATAACTGCCACATTATTGGGTGAAATTTACTAGATGGCTAAATAACATACCTATGTTATTTAAATATAAAATTTATAACCTTCTTTAACTTCATTATTTCAGTTGTTCGATATAACTTATCTTCGTGAAAATAATTAACCTCAATATTCATACAGTTAATTGTATATAACTGTAACACAAAACCTTTGAATGGCTTAGTCGAGAAGAATCTAAATTATATAAACCTTACACATTCGTAGAAACTATCTCCAGTTAGATCAAATTTATAGCCTTGTTCCTATCAGACCTACATGCTCTAATCTCAGCTTTCATGTTTCCCTCAGATAGGTAATGGTGGCAATAATTCATTTGTTATTGGAACGAACTTCAGTAGAATTATTTTGGTTTCAGTGAACAGTTACATGGATATATCTAAATTAATATATCTCATTTTACCCTATATATTCTCGAAACAGGTGCGATGGGATTGGAAAAGAAATGTTTGAAGTAGAATGAGGTAGGAAATTTGGCAGTTAATAAACTGAAAGTTTGCAAAAATTGAAATTGATGTATACATTACTAAAAATTATAATTCGTAACCATAAAAACCAGGAAGAACTATAAAAGAAACAAGAACTCTATTACAGCAGCAAATAATTTACCCTAGAGTCGATCTAACCTTTATTCAAAC